TTAAATTTAGTAGGAGGGTTAAATTGGTAGCGAATGAGGTTAACGGGTACAATATGGATATCGTGGCTCTGCAAGAGGTTCGCGGCCAGAGGAGGGCTCGATGAGGGGAGGAAAGTACACTATTTGGTACGGAGGATGCGGGAATCATTGTTTAGGTGCCGGGTTTCTAATTAGGAATAGATTTCTATCCGCTTTGAGGGACTTACAATTCTTTAGTGATAAAATTTCGGTAGCGATATTTCAGGGCCGTTGGTTTAAAATCGCGTTCATAAACATACATTGTCCGACCGAAGACAGTGACGATGAAGTAAAATGCGAATTTTACGATAAACTCGAATGGGGTTTTGATAAACTTCCGCGAAACTACATGAAAATAATTGTAGGTGACGCAAACGCAAAGGTGGGGAGGGAAGAAGTTTATGTCCCGACGATTGGTAAAGAAAGTTTGCACGAATATAGTAATGATAATGGGATCCGTCTGATAAACTTTGCCATCTCGAAAACCCTGATAATTAAAAGTACTACGTTTAAACATAAGGATATTCATAAATATACCTGGACATAACCGGATTCGCAAATACGCAATAAAATCGATCATGTCTTGATACAATATAGCTGGCAAACAGTATAATAAATGTACGGTCATATCGCAGAGCAGAATGTGGGTCAGATCATGAATTATTAATCACAAAACTTCGACAAAAAGTTAATATAAAAAAGAAAAAGAAAACCGTTTCGATCTCGAGGATTTTAATTTAGAAAAATTTAAAAAGTCCATCAATTAGAACTCAATTCGAGCTAGATGTTAAGAATAGGTTTGAAGCTTTAGAACCTTCTGACGGGAACCGCGAGGATATTAACAAGTTATGGGTAGAGATCAGGGATAATATTAAAGCGGACGGTAACTCGTGTCTAGAAAAAAAAAAGAAAATATGAATAACAAACCGTGGTTTGATGAAGAATGCTTAAAAAGAAAAAAGATACATGTGCGAAAAAAGAAAAGCCGCAAAATTAAAAATTCTAAATAATCATAGCGAAGACTATCTGAAATACTCCCTGGAATACATCAAAGAATGAAACGGCAAAATTGCTCAAAAATATAAAAAGGGAGTATCTTAAAAATAAAATAATTGAAATAGAAACTAATAGAATTTAAAATAACGTAAGATACATGCCAAAGGTATAAACAGAGCACGTAAATATTTAAGGTCCGTCACGTCTGGAATTAGGAATGAAAATAACAATATTCTGACCGATCCGGTTGACATATTGTACAAGTTTAAAAGCCACTTTGACAATATTTTAAATTCGGGAAATTATGATCTGTGTCCTCCTTCTGAGTACCACAGTGCGGAATCGAGTAAAGAGGAAGTTGAAGTAGCTATCTGAAAATTAAAATCATATAAAGGAGAGAGAACCGATAATATTCCTACTGAACTAATTAAGGCATGTGAGGAAGCTGGAGTTTCTAAAATACATCGGTTGGTTAAAAAGATCTGGGTGAATGAGAAATTACCTGAAGAATGGAAAGAATCTATTCTTATTCCAATTCACAAAAATGGTCAGAGGACGGATTGTAATAACTATCGAGGAATTTCACTCCTTTCGGTATGTTATAAAATATTCACTTTAATCTTAACCAGTCGAATCACGGAATAGGCCGAGGAAATTATCGGAGACTACCAATGCGGATTTAGACGGAATCGTTCGACTATTGATCAAATATTTTCTTTACAGCAAATATTGAAGACAAAATTAGAGTACAATGGTGTTGTTCACCAGCTATATATCGATTTTTAAAAGGCTTACGATTCAATAGACCGCCAGAAACTGTATAATATTCTAATTGAGCAGGATATTCCAAAAAAATTAGTAAATCTAGTCAGAATGTGCTTGACGGAGACACTCAATAAAGTTAGAATCGGTAGTAATTTATTCGAAAAGTTTGAGGTTTGTTCGGGTTTAAAATAGGGTGATTCCCTTTCGCCTGTCCTGTTCAATTTGGCATCAGAACTTGCCCTTAGGGAAGTAATGCGTACCGAAAAAGGGCTGGATCTGGGTGGGACAACACCCGTGCTTGGCTATGCGGATGATGGTCTGGTCCTGTTAAGCGAGACACGGAAACTATAAAACTAAATACGACAACGTTAATAAAAGCCGATAACGAACTATGGTTCAAAATAAACACGGATAAGACGAAATATATGGTTAGCTGCAAAAATGGCGGTATTGCTGGTGATATCGATATAGAAGGTAATATGTTTGAACAGGTAGAGAAGTTTAAGTATCTAGGGTATACGATAACCAGAAAAAACGAAATTTAAGTTGTTAAGCTTTATGGTGAATGGTTAACACCCGAGAGGTTGACCGAAGCGAACGTGGGAAGATTACGTTAAAGCCGATCTAAAGACTTGGTTTGGATGGTGAACGGTAGAGGGAAGGGTGTAATAGCCGATTGGTGGTGTCGGCATCGAACCTTCGGGTTCGCTAAGCCTTTTATTATTATAGTAAATTTTATGTTCTTTGACTTTATATATAATAATAGTTTCCATAAAATGTATAGTTTCGTAGTCATGTCCAAAAATTTCAATAATTTAGCTGATGTTTGCATATATCTCGGATAGTAATGGAAAATTTCTTTCGGAAATATCAAATTTTTATTTAGCATTTTAAAAAATATTTAAAACCGAGTAGAAACCGACTATTTGAATTTTTTCCTCTTCCGATTGGCCTAATTTGATGACTGACGTCAGTTTTCAAAACGAAACCGAATAAACCGTGAAGGTGAATTCTCTTTTAGGGACAGATCCTTTACATCATATTCAGTTCTTCCGTTAAATAAACCGTCAAATTTCGTCTCTTTAATTTAAATTTTCGTATAGAAAGCAACGGCTTTCGACCGACTACCGAAGTTTTGTGATCAGATGAGGTTTATCTAGAATTTGAAATGGTTATTAGCTATAAGTACTTCCGTTAAATGAAATGGTAGGTAGTTCCTTGTCTATATAATCTGTCCAAGCCTTCCTCCTTCGCGAACAAGCGCCCCACTATGCTGTCGGACTTGGTCAAAATAACACCGATCTGAAAAATGTTGTTTGTACTACTTAATTATGTCACTTTCTTCTGTTTTTAGTTTTCTCATTGGATCCTTCATTAGAGAATTTTAGTATACGCTAGTGAGAACTCTCATATTAGATAACTATCGTTTTCCCTAATGCATTCGATTTATACTAAGCGTCCGCGAAATATGTTTATTCGTATTTACAAAATATTATCAAGATAGTTTATTCAACATCCCTGAACTTACACTAAACGATTATTGTACTCGCCCAAGAACTATTTATTTAGTGGGGAAGAGTCTTTGTTTGTATTGGGTTGGCAAATTAATCCTTAGGATGGATTGTTAATTTTGTTTGTAATATGTCAACAACTATATTTGTTAACTCTTGTTGAAACTAGCTTAATATTGTATTTGCTATTGCACCGTGAACATGGAAGAAAATATTCATCATCGGCATATTTTGTTGTATTATTTTAAAAAAGGTAAGTTTATGGGGATGATGCCTTCACTGAACGCACCTGTCCAAATTGCTGTGCCAAATTTCATTCAGGAAATTTTGACATCAATGATGCTCAACGGTCTGGTTGCCCACATGAAATTAAAACGGGCAATGACAAGGCCATTGTTGATCAAATGCCCACCCAATCAGTGCAAGAGATTGCTATGACCCTAAATGTGTCGCACACAAGCGTAGAAAACCATTTGCTCAAGCCCGGCTATGTTTCCAGGCTTAATGTTTGGGTTCCTAACTCTCTAACCTAAGTCAACTTGGCAACAAGCATTTCTGTTAGCGATTCGCTACGGAAACCGCAACAAAAAATATAGTTCGTAGAAAATCTTGGGGCCCTAGTAGTGAGGCTCCTAGAAGAATGTCAAAACCAGGATTGCATTAAAAGAAGATAATGCTTTCCATGTGGTGGAATTTCAAGGCTACTGCTCACAATTAACAAAATTGGATCAATCAATTAAAAATAAACGCCCAGAACTGGATATCGTAAGGGTGTTGTGTTCCACCAAGATAACGCTAGGCTCCACATTTCGTTAGTCACTCGCAATAAATTATTTAGCCTTGAATGGGACCTTTTGCCCCACCCTTCCTTTTCACCAGACCTAGCTCCAAGTGACTACCATATTTTATGGTCTCTGCAGAACTGCATGAATGGAAATAAATTCCAAAAGGAAGAGGACATCAAAAACCACTTGGATCAGTTTTTTAACAATAAACTCCAGACATTCTATGATCATGGCATAAAACAGATAGTGTGAAGATATCTATTACTGAGACTAAAAAGGGCATAACCTGAATTTTGTTATCCTAGAGTTTTAGTTCGTCAAAGACTAAAATAAATAACAATTTTTAAAATTAAACAAGTTATAAGTATCCCATGGCAACCATATCGTCTAAAAGGCTTTCAGTAAGAATAAAAATTAGTATACATAGTTCATTTGCAAATATACTGGTTCTTCATGTCCGCGTCGAAATCTAAAATAAAATTTATCCTGTCTTGATTCGTAGACTTTTGAAACCACCCAAGTTTATTAAACTTGCATTAAATATTTATGGATCGAATTTGGCACTCATCACTTCTCCATGAAATTTCCTTTTATTTAATACTTCATTCATCGCTCCTGAGAGCTACGAATGAAGTATTATAATACGATCTATTGTATCGTATTATATATACGGTAGATAGTTTTGCTCATTTAGATCTCAAGTTTCTTGAGTACTAAAATCCGATTCATCCAATAGTTTTTATATGGTCGCATTTCGAATAACCTTGGCAACCAAGCAAAAAACGTGACAGCATTCTTGCAAGTAAACTTATTATATTTTATGAAGACATAAATTATAGATATGTTTTCAATATGTAAGAAGAGTAACTGTTTTGTTTCTTATGTTTTACTACGCTTTCTTTTTCTTTCCCTTTGTTATAATTTTTCTATTGTTTTTGTTATTGTATATATGTCATGAATGAGTTTCTAACATCTCAAATATATAATGCCCTTAATTGAGGCAAAATGTATTTTTCCTCAATAAATAAAAAAAAAAAAAAGAAAGAGAGTAAGAATTTTTAGCTCATTTATTTTTTATGATTGACTTTTCATAGGTATATTTTATAAAAATAAAAATTAATTGAGCTTAATAATTTTCGATTATAACCTTTCGTTTTAATGGAGAACCAATGAATTCCAGACTGATTTTGAGTTGAAAAAATTGTGTAAAAAAACAACAAAAATCTATTGGAGTGAAATGAAACGTAAACTAAACTGAGAACCACAACGGATCGCATAAAATGAAGTTTAAATAGCATTAATGAAGTTCGTAACATAAAGAATTTTATAAAAAGAAAAATATGAGTGAAACTCTCAAACAGGTTTTCATCACACTAAGACAGCTGTTGCAGTAGTTTGTGGTAGTGGTCATCACATGGCATCGTCGCAGAACGCTCCCGATACAGAAGCGGAAGAAGAAGACAATCCTAGAAGCCTCTTACCGGTCATCATCTTGCCGACGGACCAGGCATGGGTTGTGGTCCTCGTTGCGATCTGCCAGAACTTCCTCCTCGAGAGTGTACCTCTTACCATGCTGTCGTTAGCTTCCGATATTGAAACAAGTGAATTTTTCAGTGCTGAGGATAAATACCGCAATGCAGCCGTCTTCTTTGGGCTCTCTAGTATTTTGAGTATGTCGAACTTAACTTATAACTTTAAGAATTGAGTACGTGTAAAAATTGCTTTTATAAAGGTAATAACTACAAACGATTAAATGCTTTAATAACAGAGGGATAAAAAAACCATCCGACCTCCGAAAGTTTCTTTGTTTACAAAACATAAATTTTTTGAAAATATGATCGTTACTCTAACTTTTATTTCACGAGTCTTAGAAATTTCATTTCACCCCTGAAGAGCTAATTATAGAAATATGTTTCAAGGTATTTTTTTCAGATTAGCCCCGACAGTTATTTTTTAATAGTTACACTTCGAGTAACCTGTTATTTTACGTGATTAAAGAAAAACACATGAAAATAAAAACTTTAATTATAATTAACCTAATCACATTTTTACTTTCACTTATATGTAATATCTGGGTAAGGGAAACTATTGCAATCGTGAAAATTTTCGTACCTGAGTTTTCAACGAAAATACACGTTTTGAGGTCTCCTGAGTCCAAATAACCAAGTCCCGCAAAATGGTCTGTGTGTATGTGAACAGTCTAGCTCAAAAAATAAAATTCGTACTAAACTGATATTAAGTATATAATTTAGGTATATGACTCAGATGTTACAGCAACTTTTTCCTCAAAATCGGCTGACCAGAAGTGCCACTTTATATCAATGGTTAAATACATTTTTACAAATTTCTCAAAAATGGCTCTAACGATTTTGATTAAACTCGATGGATCATTGTATAGTTAATTGGTCTTTAATATAATTTAGGTCTTATTCCCATTGATGCCACTTTTCAGGGCTTAAATGCCCAATGTTCATATACGCCTTCCTCTAAAGTACCTTTAATGTGGTTTATTTTAAATAATTAATTATTTATCATTATTAAGAGTTACAAAAAATTGCTAAATATAACTTTTAAAAGAATTTGATAATTGAATAAAGGAGAAAAACAATAAAAATGCTTATCCAGGTCGAAAATGAATCTCCGGAAATACTAGTCAGAAGGTATACATAAAATATATCATTGAATATCGAAGAATTATAGAAAAAGCAATATCTAATATAGAATATTGTAAAAGGTAATGGAGGGTGGCGAAAAAATTATAAATAATAATTTTTGAAAAGTAATAATATTTAACGTAAATCACACGTTTTCAAGGATTTTTTTTTTAGATTTATTATTTGTTTATTGATAAATATTACAATCTGTCTCAATAAAGGACATTTATAATAGAGTTCTGAGAGCTCATTCACACCATATTTACAAATTCAAAAAAAATAAGCTAATTTCAAATAATATAAAGCTATAAAAGAACAAAATAAAATATCATAGTGAAGGAAGAAAATATAAATAATAGTAATAATAGAATGAAAATAAATGAATAAAATAGAATTAAAATTTTCAAGGAAATTAAATGAAATTTTCTTACTAAATGTCATCTTTAAATATTTTTTTTTAAGTTTGGAAACGTAGTTAGAATCCATGAATTCAAAGCAATGGCATTGTTCAAGACACTATTTCATTGGACTTGTGCAAAAGAAGAAGTGACATATAAAAATATTTCATGGATGTATAAAGTATATGTTTATAACTTTAAATATATTGACTGTAGTTTAATAACTCTAGATCTGATATTATATCTAAATAATTAGGTATCTATCGTACGTTTATTTCGAAAAAAAATCTTCATTTAACCTTCTAGAAAATTTAATTCAGGCTGATGAAGCCTTCTCTCCCCCAAAATGGTAAAATATATCCATGTTTTATAGAAAAAAAATATTAAAAACTATCTCTTAAAGTATTATTTTTCGTTTAATTACATTTAATAGGACTTCAAGAATCATTTAAACACCATACCATAGGTAGTTAGTTTCTTTCTTTTATTCAAATTAATTATCGTTATGTATATGAAAAAAAAAATCTTCCGGGCTGAAGCTTCCCCTCCAAAATCAAATCTTGGATTCCCTAGTGATCTGGAGAAGAGCATACTTTAAATACAATATAATTAGGTACTAAAAACTCGTAAATACCCATTTTCTTTCCACCAGAACCATAAGATAATGTTACCTCAAAATCGAGTAAAAAGTTGGCCTTCAAAAATATTGAGCCGTTTGTCGTGACCTACACCGCCAAATTGTCAAAATAACGAGGTCATATAGGACAAATGGCCCAATATTTATGTAGGCCGCATTTTTTATAGATTTTCTTATCAAATTATCTTGCGATCCATGTGAAAACCTAAAGGGTATTTACAAGTTTTTATTACCTGATTAAATAGACAAAGTTTGCCCCCCTCTATATTGAAAACGCCCGAATTCATAGAGTTTTCGTAAATAAAATATTTGTAGGTTATGATGAGATGAAGCTATTTACAAAGTTTCAGGAGGATGTTAATAATTTGATAAAAAGGGGTCGGTACCATGGGCTATATGTTTTTATAATAGAAGAAAAATATCATAGATTCAAACATAACTGATACTTTTCCTGTTTAAAAATAACTGCCGAGGTTAATCTGCCAAAGACCCTTCAGTATCTTAGAAAGTTGGTAAAGATCATCGTGCATTGTTTTCGACAATAATACTTGACCAAAGTATTAAGTTATATTACCAATTTTGCGATTAATTTTTCATTATTTAATTTCTTAAAGAGTAACGGTACTACTAAAAGTAACGCTACTAAAGAGTAGCGGATCCAGGGCTTAATTTTGGAGGGCTTCAGCCCAAAAGCTTTTTTACCTTCTCTTATATGTAATACCTTTAATTGGGTTTATTTTAAATAATTACTAACTCTCATTGTTAGAAGTAATAAAAAAAGGCTAAGTATAACCTTTGAAATAACTTTATTAATGACTAAAGAATAAAAAAAAAGAAAAATGTTTATTAAGGTGAAAGATGAATTTCGGGAAGTATTAGTCATAAGAAATATGTATACTATATCGGAAATCTGAGAATTTTATAAAAAACAATATCTAACATACAAAGTCCTATCAAGTAATGAAGAGGGATGAAAAAAATTATAAATAATATTTTCTGAAACAAAAACTATTTGACCATATGTTTCCAAGGAAATTAAATGAAATTTCCTAAGAAGATTTTAATTTTTAAAATAATTTTTAATTTTGAAAAGAAAAAAAAAAATATATATATGTATATATTTATAAATAATCTACCATATCAAATCAATGGCATTATTTGAAATACTATTTCATTATATTTGTGTGAAAGAAGAAGAGAAATGTAAAACAATTTATTAAATGAAAGCAAAAAAAACCCTAATCTAGCAACATTGTGGGTAGATAATTGGTTGGGTTACCCCCTTCCACCTATACATTTTGTTGGTATTCCTGTAAATGAATAAGAGTTAGTAGTTTGCATTATTGAAAATATTTGTTGCATTTTGGGTAACTAATAATTACCAAGATAGATGGTAATATTACCTGTTCTTAACTCTTTTATGTACGCTAGTAAGATTATGGCAATTCCAATAAAGTTGAATTAGTTTAATTTATATTATATTTATAATTTTGAAATTATATTGGAATACCACCTCACACTGCTTTGCGGTAAAGGAGGAAGGATTTAATCAATTTTGAAATATTAACTACCAACCTATCACTTTAAAAATTTTCTTGAGAAATTCGTATTTTGTATATCTTGTTGATTTATTTTTAAAGTTCTATTTATTAGTGTTGCTTAAGTTAGGTGTTGGTGTGAGATCTCATGATCAGGCTGTAAATGTTATTCTGAGAATAGAGGCAACTGATAAATCTGGCAAAGGCCTGACCTCAACTGTCAAGTATACTTTGGACATTTCTTTATCAGTTTTGGGTTAGCGTAATTTGATAGCTGTGGTGTAATTTCAGTTTATGAAGACCCTCAGTTTAACCACAAAAGGAGTGCCTGTGAACTTGTGAAAACTCCACCGGTCTCTTAATCTCAATTTTAGTGCGATCATTGAGATCTTGAGACTACCCATCAAAGTGAAACAAAACAAATAAATTACTATCATTATAAATTTTGTCTTTGTTTCAAAGAGAGCAACATCCCCATCTCATCTTCCTCTTATTATACTCATGAAAGCATAATATTAACTTATTGATGTAATAACGACAAGTTGGAAGGAAATTAAATTAATCATTATTTTATGAAATAGTGAGATCATTTTATGAGAGATAGAGATCTTGAGGATGGGGAAAAATAGCATAATGTTCACTGTAGTGTAATTATTATAAATAAAAGAACACAATTTTAAGGAATAAACTTGAAACAATATCATAAAAATATGTATACTGTTCTATTGAAACAAGGATTTTTAGATATATATATTCTGATGTAGGGATCTTATTAGTCAGCAACAACATTAGCTGTTGAATTACATCTTGGACTGAAATTTTCATTATAAATATTTTGTTACAGCTCCAATATCATGTTCTCTTATAAACTGGTATTCCTTTAAAATAATCTCTGTCGTTGGGCCAGCAGTGGTTTTTTTTGCTATGATTTTGACCTATTTGACTCAGGAATATTATACCTTCAGTTTATTCACCTTTAGTATAATCGGAGGTAACAATATTTAAAAATTATATATTATTTAAATCTATTGATAAAGTATCTGGTTGAACATGAATCAGATATCACATGTTTTATAATAATTACATAATATTCTTAAATTGAATAAAATTATACGTGTTGATATTTTACATGAATCGAAGTTATAAATTTCTTGTTAAGATTCTCTTCACCAAATATTTTTGACCATCTTTCGTCAATAGCATAAATTACTATGTATAATCTAATCACATTTAAATTAATTATTTGTTTATTTAATTTTCTATGATCAAGTTTTATCATAATATAAATTGATGGAACCACTAATGCAGTAAAATTAGTTATTCTCCTTTTCTAAAAACTTCAAAATACCTGAAGAACGTTACATTAAAACTTTAAATATATATCATTCTATTATAATGTATATCACACAGTGTTTGACACACCAGATGAAAACTAGCTTAAAAATAATAGAAAATTGTATTAATATTTCGAAGACCTAGAAATATTGATGAGGAAAAAGAGATTGAAATTCTTTAGTCACATGAATAGAATAAGTAAAGACAGGACAAACAAATGGATATTTGACAAAGTAATGGGACTAAAGAACATCAAAGGATGTCCTGAACAGATTAAGGAAGAAATAGTAAGAGAATAAAATGAAAATTATTTTATTAGAAAAGAGGAGAAAGGAAGAAAGTAAATGGAGAGAAGAACGGAAAAAGGAAATGAGTAAAAAAAATTAGGAAGTTTGGCCTAAAATGAGAGCCAAGAAATAATGATACAGCCCTTAGCTGGCCTTTGTCATGAAAAAAAACTGTGTATCATGTATATAAGGAAGTAAATTTCAGTACCCCATTATTGCTTTAGGGATGGTTAAGATTCTTTGTTTACAAATTTGCTATACTTCAACTATACATACAATATTATGAAAGTAGTACACTTCAATGTTTGCCATGTTTTAATTTGTCCATGGCAATATAACCTCATCTCCCTCTGTGATATTATACTCAATATTCTTGGCCTGGTTCTCTGGAATTCTATGTCTTCTACGTCCAGATATTGTCTGTACTCCTAGATGGGAAATATCTCTTGATAATGGGTATGCGAATACTGTAAGAAAATCTTTGTCTAGGGTCACCAAATTATCACTACTCTCTTGCACATTACGGACTTATTTCTCTTTCTTTCCTCTTATTTCATTCACAATACTCATGAATTTCCTTTAATTTTTGTCAAAATTACTTTTTATTATATTTTCAAATTCTTCTTAAGATTCCCTTACCTTCTTTCATCAAATACTTTCTTGACACTGTTTCTCTTTAAGAAAGAATGTAAGACATATTCATCCATAAATGCCTGAGATTTATTCTGTCTGTACCGCCTCCTCTTAATATACCTATTTTTTTGTGCATCATCATTACACGAAGCAAGGATCTACTATAGTAAAAATTATTTATTGCTTATAATTGTTATTAACATTATAGTGCATAATTTTGACCAGGTTTTCTTACTCAGTCCTATCTGTTTGCCTGACTCTGCAGCCCTGATAAAGATTTGAGGTGGTGTGTGTTGATATTTTGGTTTTAAATAAATAATTGTTACTATATTTAAATTTTCCTTTACTATTGTATTTTTCCTGATTGTATTTATGGTTAACTATTTAATGTTTCATTTAAGTAAATTATATGGCTAATATTAACTCCTAAGTACTAGACCGTTTCTTAAAAAAAAATATAATAATTTCTGAATAGTTGTTTTCTTATAGGTTTTGGAAACAGTATGATGAATGCAACCTCAATGTGCTTGCCTAACATATGGTTCTGCAACAGACGGGGTACAGCATGCCATATATCTAGGTTTGGCCAGTCCTTCGGAATTTTATTTATTCCTTGGTTCACTAAAAGAATCTTCATAGAGAACTATAACTATTCAATAGGAGATATCTATTTGCTATATGCTGGTAAAATTTTAATGGTTACTAAGATCTATACTTATTGTTTCTATATAATTTAAAATTTATACTAAAGTTTAAAAAAAAAAATTTAATTCTGTAACCAATACTACTTTTTAAATAAATTTGTATGTCAGTGGTTTATTGTTGATGCCGTTTACGTGATAGGAAGAGAAATATTTCAATAAAAAAAATACTATAGAAATGGATTTATAAGTTTGTTTGGTTTTTGTTAGAAGTGTGAATTGTTTTCCAATTTCTCCAGTTCTCTTTGCCTTATCTGACAATAATGATACTTATTGTAAAGATCAAAGTGCGCTCTTCGAAACTGCAAGATTCGGAGGCCAACTGGAAGATACGTAGGGTATACGGGAACAATGTCTTAACAGAACGTACTGCTCATAATTGGTTTGTCAAGTTTCGTTCTGGAGACACGAATTTCAAAGAAGCATCCCGCAGAAGTTGGCCCACTGAGGTTTTTTCGAGTCATATCAAGATTTTAATCAAACAAGACCCGTCACTACAGGTATGAGAAATTGATAATAGCTTTTGGAACTGTTGAAAGGACTTTAAAATAGCTTGGTTAAATATCAACCTTCAACTCTTTGCCAAACCAGCACAAATAAGACCCATTTCTCAAACTGATAGTGACGGTTGACAAAAAGTGGATCATCTATGACAATGTAGTGCCCATGAGATTGTGGATAACTGCTGACGAGCTGCCTAATGCCACCCTGAAGGCGGGACTAAATTTGAAAAAGATTTTGCTCTCCATATGGAGAGACTATCGAAGCATGCTGTTTTACGAGCTGTTTCCACTAGGAAAAACGATTGATTCGAAGATCTACTGCACCCAGCTAATGAAATTGGGTCAAGCGACAGAAGGGCTCAGAAGGCAAAGGTGTTGTATTCCACCATGACAACAACAGGCCACACTCCACAATAATCACACAGCAAAAGTTAGTGCAATTTGGCTGAGATGTTTTATTATACCCACCATATTCTCAAGACCTTGCACCATCCATCTAACACTTATTCTGGTCCCTCCAAAATTCTCTTAACGGGAAATCATTCGCCGATGAGAGAGATATGAAAATGTATTTTGATCAATTTTTTGCTTCTAAGCACCAGGTGGTTTATGAGAGCGGAATAATGAAATTAGTTGAAAGCTGGCAAGATATCATTAATAAAAACTGTGAATAAAATTTATTCTTTATATAAAAAAATTGTTTTATTTGACCCTTCAAAAACCAAACGAACTTATTGATCCACCCAATACATTCATATCTCCTTAAACAGCTTGGTAGGTTTATATGAAAATTGACATATAAATATTTAAACTTGGTATTGAAGTGGTGTACCTACCACACCCCGAATGAAACTCAAGAATCTTTTGGATGTCAACACTAATGCATGGAACGAAGTATATATGCCAGGAGCTGTAATGTGCACTGATAGGCACCCGACAAGTACACCAAGTTTAAATTTATATAGTTATCAATTTTTTTAATAATCCACCAAGGAGTTTAAGTAGATATTAAAGATTATCCCCTTAGGATTTTCAATTTCTATAGTAAGTTTTTTTTTTTTTTAACTCAAATATTGTATGGTTGCTTGTAGTCTATGAAGAGGTGGTGAAGACCAATAATATGTTCATAGTATTTCTCCAGCATGATCCTTATAATTGAAATATGGTCTATAGTGGATCTACCTGTTCTGAATCCACTTTGGTATGACCTCTCTCTTGCAGAGTACTGGATAATCCTGCTCATCAACAGAATGGAGAAAACTTTGTATGCTGTGTTTAGCAACGCAATGCTCTGTAGTTTTCACATTCCGTCTTGTCTACCTTCTTATAAACTGGTCATATCAATGCAGTGGAGCAGTCTTTTGGCAACTCTTCTGATATCCACATGTCAAAAATCAGATGGTGCATTTGATCGACCAATGCTCCTCCTCCATGCTTCCACAGCTCTGCAGGAATTTCATCCTCTCTTGGCGTCTTGTAATTTTTTAGGGATTCAAGAACTTCTGCAACCTCTTCCTTCTCTGGAGGTTCTATAATATCTTTATTTATATGTGCTGATCTGATGTACCTAGGTGGGCTTGAAACAAGTTCTTCAGGCATTTCTAGATTTAGGAGCTGCTCAACATATTGAGACCACCTATTAACAACATCTAGTGGGTCTCCTAGCAGCTCGCCATTATAATACTTTATAAAGCCTATCTTTGGCTTGAAGTCTCCCTTTTGTTCTTTGAGGATACCGAAGAACTTCCTTCTATGCCTCCTTCCATACTCCTCTTTCGTTTGGAGGAACTTGGCTTTTTCCCTGTCTCGCTTTCTTTTTCTGTACATGGTCTTGAATCTTCTCCGTAGGGCTTTAAGCATTTCTACGTTTGCTCTAGTCCTCCTTTGAAGCACTGCTAGTCTGGCCCTATTTCTTTCCTTTACCATCCTCCTGCATTCCTCATCAAACCATGTGCTCTGGGGATTCTCATGATTTATTAATAGGGTCTCGTTAGCTTTCTCTGTAAGTACTTTCTTCATCTTGCTCCACCTAGCTTCCACACCTTTGTTTCCATCTATAGATTCTTTTAGCTTTACAGCCACCCTTTTGTATACCTCTTTTTCTCGTCAGGGTCTTTCAGTTTTTTCAAGCAGTACTTCTTGGTTTTTGCTGTCTGTCCCTTTGCTTGATTGGTAATCCTTTGGTAGTATTGTATTACGACCATGTAGTGGTTGTAATACAATACCAGGCCTTTTTCCAATCATGGCGTGATCTATTTGGTTTTTAGTTAGCCCATCAGGGGAATCCCATGTTTCCTTATGAGTGCTTTTATGGTCGAAATACGTACTTACAATACTGAATCCCGCAGAGGTAGCAAAATCAATTGATTTAAATCCATTATTATTACTCCCCACATGCAAGCTATGGATGATGGGCCGATAGTAGGATGAAACATTTCTTCCTTTTTGAGTTTTGCATCAAAGTCCCTCAATACTATTTTGACATTACATCTTCGTAATCTGTTAACTGTGAGTTCCAGCACAGCGTATAAAGCCTCCTTCTGTTCCTCTTCTTTATCCTCTGTTGGTGCATGAACACTAACCAGGCTTATATTGAAGGACTTTCTCCTGATTCTGAGAGTGCAGATTCTCTCATTTACCAGTGCATAGTCCATTATTGCATGTCTTATATTTTTTCTATAGTGCTTAATATGTTTTCCCGATGCCCACTGTTAATAAGGATGTAGTCCTTTAGCTCCCTCAGTTCAATATTCCTTCATCTAATTTCTTGTATTGCTGCAAGCTCTATACTCCAAAATCTTGCTTGCTCCTGGTTCAAATAGGCATCTGACATTCCAAGTGGTCATTCTAATTGGTTTTGTCCTTTTCTGAGTTTCATGTTGTTTCCGTAGAAACTGTCCAATTTTTCTTTGTTGAGTATTGGCATCATTTGTTTTGTTTTTTTACAAGAATGTAGTGTCAGCCCAGACTAAACCCTGAACCTGGAGGACCAGGAATATTGACAAAGAGGCACTCTTACCTGTAGACAAGTTGCATATCAAAGCTTAAGAGTCTTGTCCACCCTTTCACAGTAGGCTATCTATTAGCGGACAATCCAAACACATAAACCTCATGTTGCTTCATTTAGCTGGATAAAAGTTATTGTTTTGATTATTTGTGAAATATATTGATATTTTTTATCTAAAGAAAAATCATTTAATGTAATGGATATTATGTAGAATTTTAAATATTGATTTACCTTTTCTATTCCTAGACAGATTTTTTTCTATTTATAGTCTAATCTTAATGACTTAGAGAACTTAGTTTTGAATTAAGTCTTTAATGGACTATTATTTTGTGTATTACAGGAATGTACTTAGCGCTGATAGCTTTGGGGTTAGCTGTTCCTAAACTTTATGGTATTAACGTTGAGGTTCGAAATTCAAAAAAGGACTACAAAGTAAGATTTAGAGACCAGGAGACAGCTGAAAATCTAGCTCGATCCATGTCTATCATTGGAAATGTACTATCTTATTTAATTTTTAGAACTTATCAAAACCTTATGTACCCAAGAGTAAAGGATATTATTAAAGAAAGAAGGTAAGGTTTTTTACGTTTTTATGTATTTTAATTAAATAAAAGCAATTTGGGATTTCAGCACAATTTTTGATATACAGTAGAGTTGTGCTAATCAGAATCCCAATTTTTCATTCCCTAACGACCCATTGACACATTCTTGTGTTTTGCCTAAACATTTATTTAGTTTTTTAAATTCTCAATGTTTTCCCTAGATACACTTCTAGTCAATCTTGTCCTGGTGCATATTCTGATCTCACAAAATCTACGATGTTTCATTTCTTCTCTATGGCCTTTTATATAAACCTATGAGCTAAATATGCAAATTGTAAAGTATATACCTGTAAGTTACAGTTTAGGTTATAGAGATTGTGTCCTTATCGAAAGAAGGTAATGAAATGCTCAATGAAAGATGATCATGTAATATCTTTGGTGATATTGATATTCGTGATATTCGTAATATCGTGATATCATGTAATGTATAAAGGTTTTTGCACAAAGACTATAGTATCAAAAATGATTATTGGATTTACTTCAATTTAACCATATAACTATCGATAACGATTGAGTGTAAATCATAAGCCATCTTAACAAAGTACTGGGGAGTATAAATTATATGAGTTTACAACTGACTTCAGCTTCATTCAGATTCCTGTTTATGATTAATTATTTATCATATTATGGTTAGAAGTAATTTTAATGTCTGTATCAAGCACTTTGGTGACAAGTCCACCAGATTACCTAGAACTTATCAAGAATTTGTGAATCAAACCACATGGTTACCACATAGACATCCATATGAAGTTGAGTACGTGATAACGAAACCTTCGTGGACTTCTCCAAAATGGGGCACATGCACTCCATCCAAGCTGCCCCTACAGTGGGAAATTATGAATGTGATCAAATACTCGCTTTCTGGTCAAATGTATTACAAATTTTCATTTGAAGTATCAATTCTCTACATCTTGGAAATTTTGTACCTTCTGTATTTATTTGATAATTATTAAAGAAGTTATGGATGCTACTATTATTAATTTGATTGTTTTTAACTAAATTATATCTGTTTCTCAATGTAAATAAAAAGCTATAAGTCAGAAGTAAATTCCTATGAGTTATGAAAATGGGTCTAAAAGACTTTTTTGCTGAACTATGATGAAAAAAATTATATAGAGCATTTCCCCTTTGTCTTAGGCCTGAAAAATAAAATTGAACTGAAAATATAATGATTATAAAATAAAAATTACGCATTTTTTTTCGTCTCCTGAATATTTTTAGTTTTTCTTCTTACAGGCTTTTGGAGTGTGGCTGTCAATATATCAATATATCCTAGGATTTTATTATTTAATCATCCTTCAATTTTCACGTGATATTCTTATCAACTTTTTGTAGCAAACTAGTCGGACTGTGAAAAATTTTGTGTTTTTATTTAATGTTTTACACACAAAGAAATTAAAGATATTTTTCACTTCTTTACATTATTCATTTTTAGCTGAAAAAGTTAAAAAATATATGGAGGCTATCCCCCTCCTCTCATGTGCTTAATCTAAACTAATATGTTTATACATTCAATTGTACTTTTTTTTTATAGATATTTTCAAGTATATATAATAAATAAAACAAAAAAAAAAAATAATAATCCTTACAATTATACAAACAAATTAATTTTAAATATTCAATATTATATTTGTTCATTTCACAATAATTATGTTGAGTTTTTACACATAAAAACTCTCACAATTTTTTTTCCCCATCACCTCCTCAATCAAAGTTGAAATACTGCGCCTATAATGGAATATATTTCATGTTTTTTTATTGATAACGAGGTAGAAATTCACAAAGTGAAGCTCCATCAAAAATGTATTTAGTGACTTTTTGCTTTGAACCGATGGTACCCATTATTTAGTTCTGAAAATAAAGTAAAGCTGAAGTAACAGGTGAATTAATGAAAAAGAATTCATTAAAATATTTATCATGTACATTTTATAGCAATAGTCCGTTTTATTGATGGAGTTGAATCCAATTTAGTTCGGATCCACTCCATTCTAGTACAAAATATATTTTTTTCTATAAAAATGAATTGTTGGTAGTTTAATTTAACTTTTAATTGACAAAACTATGGTTTATGCATTCTAAGGTATAATGTCTATCCATTTTTCTATCTTTTTATATAATTGTTGTTTCGTTTTATTTGGTCATAATATTATTCTTAAATATTTTTAAAAAGACATTTTTAGTTGTCTTATAAAATGCGTACTTTATATTATTTACCATTTATTTTACATGTCTGGTTAATAATTGTAATATTTCTCCTTTTAGTATATACATCTTAGTACCAGAAAATGTTATGATAAAATGTGTAGATCCACCTTATAGAAAAGATGCACCAAGACGACACAAGTCACCAGTTGCCGTAGATAGTTCTGTACTCAGCTTCAGTTTTTATGGAGTACAAGATGTTCAAATGGTTAAATCTCGTGATCTTCCTGGCTATGGGTGTCGGCCATTTTATAGAGTGGACATCTTCTATTCAGCTGATGTCACTGAACTAAATATCTACTACAGGCAGGTATGCTTTCTTTATTTTATTGTTTAAGAAAGATTGATAGTAAGGATCTGTTGCAGTATCAGTTTGTAAATCATTGACAGATTAAAAAAAAAAAAACTTTATTAATAATATCAAAAATAATTATTCATCTTATTATTTTGAGTTGAACACCTCAGTTGAAATGATTATTGAAATTTAATTGCTCTTCAATCATTCATTAAATAAGTTTCTGAACTGCAAACGTTCCAATAATTAATTCAAAATTACAATGGTCAGACATTAAGTTACTTGAATTACTTACTTTGTGTGGTACTATAACATGTTATTGTGTCTAAGCCTCCTCAATAAGAAACTGCCAGAAATTTCTTCAGCCACACACTTATTTCAGCAGAGTCTTGGCCAGCCAATGCTTCATTGTGGATGATTTCCATCAGAATTTTCTTTGGGATCTGCTCCTCAATTATTCTCACCACCTGATCTGCCTACATTAATTAGCCTTGCTTCACACATTAGGTCCTCCTGGTTGGTCCTCCTACTCCATCTTATTTTAATAAGGATGGGTCCATCTCACAATAATCAAATGATTTTGATACAAATACCTTGGACTTGGGTATTGTCCAAGTTTTTGCATTGTACATGAGGGATGGGTGGACTAAAGTTTATACAGAATAATTTTGATTCTTCTATAAACCGATATGGTAAGTGGTGCCTCAGCCAAATTAGTTGCAGCTTGTAGATATTATTTTTTTTCTGGCCTATATTCTCATTTCACTAATACACCAATGAACCTAATTTCACTTCCTTCCAATGCACTTGGTTTTTTCTTGGTTGATTTCAAGAGCAAGTCTTGCTTTTTCTTTTAGAGCAGAAATTTCTCTCTGACTGCTTACCATGACTTTTCCTTACATCACAGGTCCAAGTCATCTGCAAATGCTGGAAGCTGTAAAGACCAATAGAATTTTCTGCCCAAAGTACCTGAATACTTGAGTCCCTAACTGCCTTTTTCATTGTTTGCTTGAATAGTAGTAATGCTAGGCCAGAGTTTCTCAATCTTTCAATTTGAGTTTGCCTCTGCAAAATGCGGCTTGTAGGGGCCATTTTCTTTCTGAAGAATGAGAGTAAGCACTTACACAAAATATTGGATAGAATCTTGTACACAGGTAAAAAAGATACCATGGTAGTTGCAGCAATCATATGAAAGAATTCCTCCTTACAGGTGTGGCCTTTTTCATCCATATGTCCATGATAAATTTGTAAAATGCATTTTTAAGATCAGCATCTCTGTAATTAAGAAGCTTAGGTGGAAGATCATCTGCACCTGGTGTTTTGTGGTTCTTTGTTTTTCTCTAACCTCTGTAACCTATTCACCATAAGGTGATTTCATGCCTGTCCTATTTTTGCACTCAACTTGTTCTTCGCTGTAAATGGCCACAAAATGATTCTTTCATTGGTTCACACAAGCCCCTTCCTATTAAGGATGTTGCCATTGGGATATTTGAAATTGACGTGGTTAGGCTTGAATGGTCTGGTCTTCTATGTTGATAGGTGGACTCAAGAATTCCTGCATCTCTCCATCTGCTATAAATTTTTCTGGTATTGTCATTTATTGATTTGGTTATCTGTAACTGTAATAAATCTAGTGATAATGATGGAATAGAAGTTGTACCTACAATAGTAAAGGCTCTGAATTTAACAACCGAAAAAAAAAAATCGTTAATCGGGTTTGCTTTTTAATCTTTTTCTCATAAATCATTTTGAACCTCTAAGACTGTGAATTCTTTTTCATTTTATCAGTTCATTTCTCTTCTTCCAAGTGCTCTATCACTGCTTACTACATTAAATGCTCATTGTATATATTCAATCACTATAATCCTCTGGTTCAGCAATCTTTAGTAGCAAAGTGAGATATCGTCATACATTTTTCCGTCTCATGAAAGGAAAAAAAAAAAAAAAAACTTTTTTGTTACATAGTTATTATGACTTCATAACTAATCAAACCGCCTCATTCACTCTTACTTAATTATTCAAAAATCATTTTAAATGTCGAATGTGCTCATTTTTAGTCATTATTTGCTGAATTTAAAGTCAAAACTTAATTTGTCGTTAGTCTGAGTGGTCACAAAGCAGATAGGATGTAATGTGAGATGTAACTGTATTCTTATCTATATTAACTAATTAGTTATTAATTTGAAAGGTATTTAAGCTTTTAAGCAATTATTGTGCAGATGAACCAGCTAGACTATCATATGGCGGTGTCACGAGCAATATCCAAGAGGGATTACCAGCAAGAAGCTGGCCAAAAGTGGATTTTGTTTCCAGAAGCTATACCTAGAGCTTTCATTAGTATACTTCATATTTCGATTTGGAAGCAACTGCACTTTCTTTTCCTCCAAATAGCTTTGGCCTTGTGCTATTTTGGCCATTTTATACCTTTCATATTTATTAATGGTATGTTTTTAGGGGTAAGTTGTTTAATAGTTATTTAGTTATATTAATTATAACTATTACTCATTATTTTAGATTTGGAAATAATTAATATTCTTGATTATTTTTTAAATTTAACTAATTTAATTAATTTAATCAGTAACCTTTGGAAAGCAAAGAATTGATTTTATACTGTGCATTAAGTTATAATTTACAGTAAATATATCAGTAATAGACTGTTTTCAATTCATTGACAAATAATAAGCTTTATATGCCCAAATTGAGTGTAAATATAATTGTGGGTTGATGGTTGGCTGTAGTGAAAAATTGAAGAGAAGAATGGTTGGGGTGATCAGTCAAATAAAGAAATGGCAAAAATAAATAATAGTATTTATTTTTACATTTGCCGACGTTTCGTTCCGAAGTTCAGACCCTCATCAGGGCTGTTTCCTTTAATCTCACATTTCACGCAGATCAGGTATTCTCCATTATAACTTAACTTTTATTATCTCTGTTTTATACTATCTCCAAATTATTTCCATCCTCTTTCAATTAAAGTTTTATTTAGTAATACATTGTATTTATCTATAATATATTTTTCGTCCATTATATACGCTTCCTGTACTTCAGTTCAAAATTTTACCGTCAACCGTTAGAGATGGCGCATCAATACAGCTCCTCCCTCTCTTGCTACGATACCTCTATCTCTGTAAAACTTTGCCACGATTAGGTTTGTTTATTTATCTTATCTTAGTTTTCTCCTTATTTTATCCTTCCCATCACTCTACTTTCCATATCTCCATCTCTAATTTGTATATATTGATACATTTGCTCATTTATTATTTTTTTCTTTGAGTATATTTTGATAGATTTTACAATATCTCAATTTTCTATTTATATCTATTATTTCCTTATATATATAACTTCATGTTCCTTCTCTCTGTTCTACATTTTATTCTAGGATTACCATTTTTTGTTCTCATGTTATTATTTTGATTATGTTTAGTTCATTAGTCCATACTTTTTAACCGTTATTATTTATTTCTTAGTTCTCTGTTATTCTTATTATTCTATCTACTTTATTTTACTTTAATGTTCACTTATCTACTTCATTTTACCTTAAGTTTTTCTACCTACATTGTTATGCAAGCATATGTTTCTCATACCTATTGTTATCTGGTTCTTTTCTCAGTCCTGATGAAGGCCTGAACTTTAGGCCGAAGCATCGGCTAATGTAAAAATAAATATTATTATTTATTTTTGACATTTTTTATTTGACTGATCACCCTGATCATCCTTCTCTTCAGTAAATATAAGTAGATTTGTTGTTTAAACCCTTAAAAGTGTGATGTCTCAACGTCAAGAGCCATATTATGCCACAATAGATGATTGGTAGTTGATTTTGTAATGGACCAAGGATAGATCTTTGTTTCAGACTGTTTCTCTTATCAATTTTCTTTAGGAGTTAAGTTTAAAACTGTGATTCATTCACCTTAGTTCAAAATTAGTTAGTTAGTTCAAAACGGTGATTTTTGTGGGTTTTTTTTTATCATATAAAAAACCCTGTTGACTCCAAGTCTATTAAAATGTTTATTACTGGTGCTATATACGCTATTATAATTTCTTAAGTTTTTCATAAATAATAAACGGAATTGACCTTAAGAAAAAAACAAAATTGATAAAAGAGTAAATTTACTGTCAATTAAACCCATTTGCAAAGATCCACTGTCAGTCGTAAAGTTGCGGTTCACATTAATGTTGAAAATTTCTCTTAAAGTGTCTATTACTGGTACATTTACCTTAATCATAAAGGTGACACTTGCTTAGAAGAGATGGGTCAATGGAACTGAATCAGGAACGGGGAACTTAGTCTCACTGTGGAACGGAACGAAGCAGTTCCAATTACTAAGAATTATTGATACCGACAAATAGGTAAGGAGTGGTGAGGCTGATTCTATAAGGAACACAGTGTAAATAATTTGTTCAGGGTTAATTTTGAATAACCTTTTAAAGGTTTATTGTAAATGACCTTTTTGGCGGCAATTGTAAATAGCCTTCCGTTTTGTCGAGGGACTAGGTTATCTACACTCGTAAATTTAATTTTCTTAAAACAAAATCCCGGCACTGGATGTAGACTTTTTGAGGGTGTTTAACTGCCGTTGGGAATTCAGGAATCTAATGCTTTTGTGACACTGAGTGACAAAAAATAATAAGAATATATATATATCTGAAATGTGGGACTGGGTAAATACACTTTGAATGAATCGACTCACCTGGTTTGTTATTCTTCAATTGTGAGGCATATAGGACAATTAAATAAAAGGGCTATTCACTCTAGTATAACAAAATAATTTATTTATTTAAATAATTTATCTATAGTCTTATAACTATAGGCTTGATCTTCTTAATCTTCAGTGCAGTGCCTCTCTCTTCTGGTAACCTCCTTTCTTCCTGTCCCGGCCTAAAGTACCTTCTTTTCTCTCCGGCGTCCTTCTCCAGCTGCTGCTACCTGCTCGATTCTTTTTCAAGTTTCTTCCTTCTTCATCGATTGTTTATCGATATGAGACTTTTCAATGAACAATTTGTCCACTGCACAATTGAGTACAATTCATAGTGCAACCTCACATTCCTATATAGTCCTTCTCATTCCCCCACACAATGTCACATAAAGGAGTAAATACTGGAGGCTATCTACTACAACAGAAACAATTGACAAAAGCATTCCATTCCAGTTCCATCTGGTTCGATGGGGAGTGCTGGAACAGTTGACAAAAGCATTCCAAGGAGAGTATGTTAACTGTAGTAGATGGCCTCTAGTATTTACTCCTTTATATGACATTGAGTGAGCGAATGAGAAGAAATATATAGGAACGTAGGGTTGCACTATGAATTGGACTCCATTGTGCAGTGGACAAGTTCTTTATTGAAAAGTATCAAATCTATAAACAATCGATGAAAAAGGTTCAGAAAAAAAAAAGGAAGAAGCCTGGAAAAGTCCCGGCGCCTGGCAGCAGCTGGAGAAGGACACTGGTGGAACAAAGAAGACTTCACTTGAGGCCGGGACAGGAAGACTGAAGGACATTACCAGAGGAGAGAAGCCCACCCCACTGAAGATTAACAAGATCAATTAATTTATTCATTTATTACAGTTCTGGAAACAAATTATTTTGTTATTCAGGAGTGTATAGTCCTTTTATGTAGTTGTCCTATATACCTCATAATTGAAGAATAACAAACCAGGTGAGTCAATTCATTCAAAGTGTGTTTACTTAGTCCCACATTTAATATATAAATATTATTATTTTTTTTTTTTTGTCACTCAGTGTCACAAAAGCATTAGATTCCCAAATTCTCAACAACAGAAAACACCCTCAAAAAGTCTATATCCAGTGCCGGAGTTTTGTTTTAAAAAAATCAAAATTCACCAGTGTAAATAACCAAGACCCCCTACAAAACGGAAGGTTATTTACATAACAGTGTTCAATGCATGGTAGTGGCGAAGAAGTATAGAACGCAATACATGTTCTTCATACTGTAAATGTAGCACAGTGATCATTTTATTAGCTGTAATATAATTATTTCCTATATGGTTTATTGAACTTTTGGTTGTGTTCCTGGTTTTGACTCAAATAACAAAGCGAATCTAAAAAATTGTTTCTCATGTATTGATCAAAAGCTGTTGGCATTGTTCAATGATTGTCTTGACAGAGGATATTTTCTTAGAATCTGAAAAATTGCTGATGTTAGGCTCTTTTATTAGGGAGGATATGAGGACAAGCAATTAATAAGTTTTGTATGGCTACATGCCTCCTCTCTATCATGAGCAGAATGTTGAAGAACCAGTTGATGTTGAGTCTACAATCACTTTTCTCAAAAGTTAACTATTCACAGCAGTATAGATGCATTAAAAGGAGGAAAACTGCAGAGGCTCTACTGAGAGTATGACGTGACATTGAAGAGAAGGCTGAGAAGTATCTTATCCTTCTCCTGCTTGACCTATCCTCCAGCTTAAATAGTGTTTGGTGGTCGAATTTACTCTAGCAGTTGCAATTATATGAAGCTCCCAGCAACTAGTACAACCTTTTGAGAAGCTACTTACAGGATCGAACATACAAGATAATTTTTTTTTCAATTATCCTTATCTGACCATTTCTGGCATACAGGGTAGGAAGACATAAGACAGCTTCTTTGAAGGGAAATATTCTGTGGAAAGAGGATGTCTGCAGGGCTCTGCCCTTTTTTCCATTCCTTTGGGAACTATCTTCGACGAGCTGCTGGAAGTGCTAGATGAAGAGTGGTTTCCTGCCACAGCTTACATTGTAGTGGCCTCGAACAGCACAGTTAGTATAAAAGATGAAGCTGAACTGAGCAGAAATATGTAAGATGGTGTGAGAGAATGAAGTTGAGGATGTTGGATGCCAATACTTTTGCTTACATAAGTGATTTGTAACACTTGCATGCATATTAGCCCAATGTTGCAAATACCCTTATTGGCTAACGTGGCATGACAGGCTTCTAAATAAATAAATAAGGTTTATTGAACTTTTTGTGAGTTATTACATAAAAATGACTGCATTTACATTAGAAGGGCTGACCCCTTTATATAAAATATTGAGGAAGGGCAGAAAGCGCTTCAAAGAAAAGTGTGCTCGATCTATAGAAAAAGATATTCCAGGATGATGATGGGGAAAGAGTGGCGGGGTGGCCGAGTGGGCTAATGCGTGTGCATTGCACTGCGCATTGCATGGCAACCTGATAACCGAATTTAGATAAAAAAATATTATGAGTTCAAATCCCAGTACCTGGTGGAAATTTTAACTCTTCATAATTCCCCGGACCAGGAAAACTCCTGTGTAGTCTAAAAGGCAAGGAACGGGCAAAAAAAAAAAAAAAAAAAATAGTCTGATGATGAAGATAAAAACTCAAACATCAAAAAATTTGCATATCTGATTTTATTTAACTAATCATTAATGCAAGTCAAAATTCACAAATAATTTATTAAATATTCCTGGAAACTTCAAAAACCTACTGTTAAAGTACGTAAATGTTTTAAAATAAAATTTCAAGCTATACAGTCCACTTTTTATTTTAAAATTACAATTGACTTAATTCAAATCATAGTTAGGCTTCATTAAAAGTTTGATTTAAACTAAGAGGGAGCTTAAAAACTACAGTTTCTTTTTTTTATTTTTTATTTATTAATCCACACTTGTCAATTACAGCTATCGATAATCAGCAGATAACCAGCTGAGCTGGTATGATCATGAGAAAAAAATAAATAAAAATATAAAAGGCTTGATAAGATTGGAAAGCAATATCTAGCAGTATACCTTCTATGGCATATATTCACTAAAACATTGTGTAAGTAGGTCCCTCATCTAGACCCTTTTCAGTCCTCTTCTGGTGTTCTCTGGCCTAATAGTTGTGATCATTGCTTTTATTATCTGGTTGGAATGTCCATTTAATTTGTTATTTAAATCGTTTTTTGTAAGTTCGTGTGTGTTCGTTGACTATCAGAACATGTAAATCAGCCTGTCAAGTGTTGTTATTCACTTGGTGCTTGGATAATTAGTCGTAGTATCTTAGACTGAAAAGTTTAAAATCTTTTTATGTGTGTTGGTTTTGCAATTCTGTACATTTATAGGCCATAAGTCCAAAGAGGTTTTAATAGATAGGTGTAAATACTTAATTTTGTATCTTGCTTCTAATTTGGAATGTCATCTTTTTTTAATATGAGGACCTCATGTCATTCTCCTATCAAAAGTCAGTTCTAAGTATTGTAGTGGAGGACGGGATGGTCCAGCACGTTGGGGCGTGGGTCCCAGAGTGCCTGGTTCTGAACGTTGTGGGTTCAATTCCCACCTGTTCAGTTACTTTTCATTTCTCATTGACAATGAAAATGGATCGTGACATTCCCACTCTTTTCTTTTCATCTCCCCTTCCTTGCCTTTTGAGCTACATGGGGTTTTTCCCAGGCAGGGAAATTATGCCAAGTTAAAAGCCCCACCGGACACTGGGATTTGAACTCGTAATTATTTTTATAACTCTAACTTCGGTTATCAGATTGCCGGGCAATGCGCAATGCTGTGCATATGCGTTAGCCCGCTCGGCCACCCCATTCCCAAAAATTCTCTCTGGTAAGTAGAAGGTGGCAACTTCAAGGTAGCCATCAGGGGTCGGCAATAAGGACCAAGACAGAGCCACTTACCGGACTAGTTCCCCTAACAGTACCAGTATCAGTACCAATAGGAATTGTATTCTGTCCATTTGTGGGATCGTCTAAGTATATTGGAAGGCATGTTTCTAGTCTTAGAGTAAATGTGTTGTAGTTTTTGATAATTTATTTGAGTTTTCAAAACTTACACCAATCATGTAAACACTGAGGAAAGGTAATTAGCAAAGAGCTCAGAAATTTCCTCATCCGAAACTGTCCGAGGCTTTTGAAGAACTCAGAAAACATTGTGGGTGTAAGCTTGTTCCTAGGGGAACAGTAAACAAAGACAAAGGCAAATGTTATGTTATATTATTTAGTGTATTGTATCATTCTTATTGATTGTATGTCTTTAGTAATAGGTAAGTCTATGGGATTCTACTTTAGTGAATTTTTAACTAGTGTCACCATTCCTCCTTGTCCAGTTTTGTCTGAGTGATAAGTTCTATAAATAGAGTAATCCTGAATATAAATGTTTGATCAAGATGTTAGATTTGTTTCAGTAATGAGTGCAATGTTGATCCTTTTTTTTTGTGCAAGTATAAGTCAAGTTCAGTACTTTGCTGTGTCAATCGATTGGCATTCCACAGGAAAATTGAAAGGGAATCCACAGTTTAATTATTCTGGGCCATAATTAGGGCACCAGATCTATGTAAACTGTGACAGTTGCTGAAGTAGAATGAAAAGGCGCTGGATTAAGTTATTTAACATGTAATTACATTAAATAACTGAGAAAAGCAATTATCTACTGGTGGTATTAGCTGGGTAATGCCTCCTCGCATACCTGTTCATGATTTTTGGTTCTGTATTGCTGAGTCCGATAATGGTTGATTTTGTTGCTGCTGAGGTATGGCGATGATTTGTGGTTCCGCTTGGATGAGATTCTGCTGTATTGAAGAGAAATCATGCATGCCTGAAGATTCCTGTGTTGGCTCCGCTACTGTGGGACGTTGAAGATGAAATCTCGCATTGCTCTAAACCCTGAGATCTGTCAGTGCTTGACAGCCTCTGTAGTTGACTGGGTGTTGACTGGCACAATTGGTGCACTTAGCAGGAATTTCTCTGGCTTCAACAGCTGCTTTCATGAAATTTACCACACTTCACACACAGTAGTGGATGATTACAGTGGCGGATCCAGGAATTTTCTCAGGAGAGAGGGGGGCGCACCTCTGTACCAGATTCTTCCCCCACTTAAGAAATTAAAGAACGTTAAATTGTGCATTGAACGAGTACTTAAACTTAATAATTTGATTCAGTGACATGGTTGATAACCACGGCCAATGAACTCTAATTTATACAAAATTTGTCAAAATCTGAGACAGATTACTATAAATGGCCCTGCAGGTTAGAATTGAGTCCTCGAAGGGAAAAACTCATAGATTAAATTCTGATCCTGAACATATTCAGATTCCGATCATATCTGAGACCAAATAAATAGTACCTTTCTTCATGAAAAAGTTCCCAACAGTAGCTATATTAAGAAAAGAAAAATACTTTTTAATGAGAATTTACAAATTATTATCATGACCAGTTTTATGAATTGCATGGATTCTGCAAGTAGACTATAGTTGCTGGAGGTTGCAATGCGTCCAGATCTATTGGAACTGAGTAAAAACTGGATCCGGAAGGAAAACCATATTTTCTTGTTCTCGAATAAAAAGTTATTCAAAAGAATAAATAAAATTTACTTTTTTTTATAAATTAATTTTCCTCCATCATGTATTTCACGTGGGAGACTCAGTTCGGAGATAGTAGTAACAAACTGCGACAGGAGCACAAGCCTTTTTGCTCTTCCATTCTATTCTTTGTTTCTCAAAATCTCGCCATGCGCCGACGGCCTGGTGAGGTGACGTGATTTGATAAACCATAAGATTAATAAAAATGGTCAAGATATTAATTTTTTATTGATACCGCAATAAAAAATTCTTCATTGAAGATGAATTCTCTCTATATTTCTCTTGCTTTTAGAAACTTTTTGTTCACCATCCAGGAGGGAAATTCCGTTAGGAAATTTGTCTATGAGGATGAATTTTTGCTATATTTCTTTTTTCTTTAAATAGCTGTTTTTTTGGAACTTTTTCCAACTTGCAGGGAGAGGGTCCTCCGTCTGAATCCACTAGTGGATGATTGTAATATGTTCTATTGTGCCCATATTGCTGGTATTGGCACCGAACACATTGAGAAATATTTCTCTTTTGACCTGGTTCCTTAATTTTAATATAAGAATTTAATTTTATAAGTTTTTTTCTAAATATCTCTTTTTTTTAATGTCCACAAAGAAATATAGGAAGGGTTTGTTTGAAGCAGGATATGGCGTTAATCACATTAGTAACTTCATAACCCATTTTTTAAAATTCTTATTCATCTCTTTAGACTTGTGTTCCATTGTGGAGATATTTAACGAAAATTCTTGGACACCTACCCTGTGGAAGTTGGTAAGCATGGCAGTTGATGCTTTTCTTTTGCAGACTGGAATTTAATTTTCGGTATATGTCACGATTTTGTGTGTACATAGTGACACCTTTCAATGTATACTTCGTTTTAAATGTATTTGAACCATTTATTTACTAGAAATGAAATCAATGCGTGGTGATTCTCCACACCGTTGATCAAAATTGCTGGAGTTTTTTATTTAGAAGTAGTCTTCTTTCGTCTTCTGTTTAAGAGTTAGTGATGTTTTGAACCTGAAAACTGTTTGAAGTTGGAATTGGTTCGGTTGGTCGTTTTTGTGCTTCTGGCTCGCTTGCATCTGTCAAAAGTCTTTTACGACCAAAACCAGTTTCCAGGAACCGACGTCATTGTTTATTTCAGTTTTTTTAAATTCCCTATTACTTACCTCATGTAGAGATGGCTCCACCATCATTAGCAGTGAAATCAGCTAAGTCTTTGTTTGGTGTTTTGTCTTCAGCAATCTTGTCTTGAGAAAACACTTTTTCTACGTAAAAATCTAAGTATTTATTCATAATTAACACTTTTTTTGAATTTGTGTGTTTAAATATATATTTTTTATTCTAGTTCTAAACTTTTTATAATTTTTTATTTTTTTTTTATTTGAAAATTAATACATTCTGCCCCATTGGAGAGCATTAATATTAGGGCTACATTAAACATTTTATAATTAAAAATACATTGATACAAAGTATATTTTGTATTTTTAGATCGTGGTTTGGAATTTGGACTTGAGGAAAAATCTTATTCAATAATCAATTTCATTGGTTTTGGCCACTTAGCAAGTCGCCTCTTGGTATTTGGCTGTAGTTTGTTCTACTTTGAAATGGAAAGCACTTTTATGTTTCAATTCTTGCTCGTATGCGAAGGATGCCTTTCTATAATCTCCAACTACTTTGAACAATATGGATTACAAGCGATATATGGCATCCTCACAGGAATGTATATGAGTGAGTTTGTTTTTTTTTTAATTAATTTTATCTGCTGAATTTTAATTTTTAAATTTGATCTATAAAAGCCAATGAAGTGTTGTTAGATTAAATCTGAATTATAACAACTACTTAGAAGGAGTTCACTAATATAAACCCATAAATTAGCATGAAGAATTTTTATTACCTCTTAGACATTATGGTTGCTTATCCAAAACCTTTGCATATGGCCATCCAATCCAAACCTCTCTTACCTCTGGCAGGCATTTATTGTTGTATTATTTATTTTTTAAAGCTTTGTTTATTAAATCAACTTTTATAATAAAGCTTGTGTTTTTATATGGATTTAATGGAGAGAACATTTAATAATACAAATATGCGTACCAGGAACAACTTGATTTAAATTAATATACAATTAGACAAATAGGCTATTCGAAATAAGTCGAAGAGGAAACAAGACGAGACCAAATTAAGAACATGATAACATTCAATCTGGATGTAAAATCTGTGAAGGAGCTAATTGAGGAACACTGGCTCTTGTAGTTGAAGCATGTCTTGAGAATATCAAGAGAACATGTAAGATGGATAGAGAAACCTGAATTGAAATAAGGAGACTGTGGGAAAGGCCTAGGAAAACCTAGGACGAAGGAGTTAAGGAGGGTTGAAAGAAGTTGGCATTGATAGATAATAGAACTGGTTCGGGAAAAGAGACAATTGGATCAGACTCTATAAGATGACAGGCTGCTGACACTGAAGTATGCTATTAAGGGTAGATTAAGTAGTAAGTAAAAAAATATAAGATTTGGATCAGACTCAAGTGGTTATTTCTAGTTGCCTCAATGTGGACTGGAGACTGTCTCAGATAGTACATATTATGTCTGCTGGGGAAGTTAGGAGATAGAGGCTTACCCATGCAAATGACCTGGCAGTCGTGGCCAAAGAGCCAGGCTGAAGACCCTAGGAAAGAGGTCATCAAGTCTTGTATATGAATGGTGTGTGAGGAAGAAACTGAGTATGGCCGCTGACAATCAGTTCAGTTTAGTTCATCATTTATTTTGTTATTCGTATTTAGGTCAAAAGTTTGTTCCTTGTGATGAAGGTTATTTGTAAACATTTATCAATGTAAAGGTTACATTGTCTACAAATAATTTAGTACTGTTAATTTACTTTATGTATTTCATGAAGTGAACTTTTGTATTGTATTAGTATACATTTTTTTTTTTTTCCTATGCCACAGTCATTAGTCATTCGACCATCCGACATCTTGCTGCCCAATATAAGTTTGACTTTTGTATGTAATCATTTACATATGTTTGATTCTTTATATCCGTCAAAGCAGGACATTCGTTTAGGTGGTCTGCATCCATTTCCACTTGTTCACATAATTTACATCTAGGATCCTCAGCCATGCCTATCTTGTGGAGATGACTTTGTAGATAGTCGTGACCAGTGGCCAGGCAGTATTAGTATAAATTAGTAGGTCTACTGTAAGGATTTTAATTTAGAATTGAAAATTGTTATTTAATTACAATAATAATGTACCCAATATATAATATGGCTATATAAATCTCCCTTTAAGGCTTCTTTTTTTTTTTTTTTTTTTGGGTCCTCCCCTTCCTCGCCAGGATTGTGGCGGGGATTTAAAAGACGCCTTGGCACCGGGATGTGAACTCATGATTATTTTTGTATCATTCATCATATATCAGGTTGCCGGGCAACGGTGGTGCTGTGCACAACGCATTAGCCCATTTCGCCACCCCGCCCACAACCCTTTAAGGCTCTTAGAAGCAATGGATTTTAACAAATGAGGTATCAATTGAAAGGGAATTTCTTGGAGAAATGACTCTGATTTTCAGTCCTTACCTTCCTACAACAACTTTAATAAAATTCATTTAAAAAATAGAGAGGCTTCAAAACAACTGATTCCAAATGTCAAGATAAATTATTTTTTAAAAATTTAATTGCGGATTTTGGGAGTAGGGTAGCTCAGTGGTAGGGCACTGAGTTTCCAAAGCTGAAAGCCCCAGGTTCAAATCCCGGCTTCTGTTTTATCAGTCATGAATTAACCCTGGTGTTGGGAAATCTTCCTGGGGCACACCCAGTCTCTATAAAATGGGTACTCTTAATTAAATAATAATAATCAGCTACTCAACTCAAGGCTCTATGGGAGATCCTCTCTCTTGTAATCCCAAACAACTAGTCTCTCTGCCAAACAACATCTTCCAAGATGGTAATACTATTACTGGGTTTTAACCCTTGGAGCCAGGATCCTTTCTCCTACTCTCTCTTCACTCCAGCTAAACACCAACCGCTGGCCAAAACAAAAACTTTTGTCCCTATCCTCTTTGGGAAAACTACAGAGCAGCTATTTTCTTTTCTCTGAACTAGTAGAACTAGATTAGCTTGCCTTTTAACTGTTACATTATTTTGTTAAAATATTTTTAACAACTTTCAATTAAGATGTATATCACAATAAATTGGCTTGGCAATAAAGCGTGGTGTGAGATATAAATTTTTAAAGAAATTAAAAATGGATTAGAACTGTGGTTTTGTTCACCTTATATTATGTTGATATAAAATAATAATACAATCTGGTCTACAGAATACATGTAAATTAAAATAATTCAATTTGAGTATCGAATAGTACAAGTAGATGAACAGTTGTATAATTAGTAAAATTGGGGTTGGTCTACCATCAGGCAGACTGGGGGTACTCTCCTATTAATTAATTAACATATGATAAATTAATAAAGTATATGATATTATTTATTATAGATTGAAATGATATTTTTATTTGTATATATTTGTTTGACAAAATTTTTTAATACATTTTTATTGGAACTCCTGAAACCCTTCACAGTGATGGTTCGTCTGCTTTAAACTTAATTAACTATATATATATATGGTATTGGTTTATTTCTTCTAGTTTTAGTTAATTTTTTATTCCTTTTTTGGATATGAATGAAACTTCGGGAAAGTTGGTATTGTTTATTAACTCTTATCTCTTTTTCATTTAATTTATTAGGTATTTCTGTATTGACCATCGTTCCTGCTATCTCTAGAATCACTGGGATTTTTACCCTGTCTAACGCTATTGGCTATATGCTTATTTTCCAGGGGATAGGAATCATGGTGGGCACTTTAGTATGTGGTAAGTCTTATACTTATCAATAATTAATTAGAATTATAAGTAAATCTCACAACATCCCATGGCAGCCCTAAAAAGCTAGAGCACTATAAGTAATAATAAAAAAAATAATATAAATTTTTCATTTCTTTTAAAAACTAAAAGTGTACTAGTTCACAAGTGCTCCATCAAAATGATTTGTGGGGCCAAGATCGGATCGAACATACTTATACATGAAGTATGTCTGATAACACCAACATTTATGCTAGGTTAGGTTACATTATATTCTTCAATATCAAACTTTTTATGTTGGTATGTTGGCTAATATGCCCATGCATAAAGCCACAAAAAAAAAAGTTTTTATATTAAGTTAGGTTATATTTAATTAATTTTATTGTTCTATTTATTATTATATAGATTATATTATATTTAATTGTTTCATTGTAAGTAGTAATAAATAATAACATTTACTCTTAATTTTTCATAATTCTTTAATTTTCGAAATTTTCATTTTTCAAGAATTGAAACAACAATAATTATTAAGTAGATAATCAATAATTCATAAACATGTGGAGTTCATAGATTTATTTTTAAAACCTTGATTTAAAAGAAAAATTGGGACTCTACTTGGACAAAAGAATTATATGAAACATACAGACAAAATAAAAAAAAAACACAAGAACTGACTAAACGATATAGCAAACTCTCACATCTTTTGGACTTCAGATCCTTAATTAACTTATGATACAAGTGACTGATCTACAACACTGTATTGAGACCAATTTGGACATACGTAGCAGAACTTTGGGGTTTAGCAAAACTAACACACATAAACAAAATACAAACAGCACAATAAAAAAATCTACAAAAAATTGTTAACGCACCTCAGTATATTTCAAATAACACTATGCATAATAGCTTAAAACACCCCAACAGTAAAATCCTGCATCCACGACAAATACACTATATTTCATTCATCATCCCAAAATCACTCCAGTCTTCTGGTTCTTTCTATTTCCTGCTCCCTATTAACTGAATGACACAGATTAAAAAGAAAATGGCCAAGAGACTTACTACTTCAATCATAACAAAATAAAGCAAATTCACAGCAAAAATTATAAATACATCAACTTTGCTAGATGCTTTGCCGTGCTGGCGCAAATTGCATGGAATATTAAAACAAATAAATTGTGATTATTTTATTTATGAAACTATGTTGTTGCATTATTAATATTTAGTTTTTACTGCTTTTAATGTTGCACTTTTTTCTCAAATTTAATCATTATTATTATATTTAGATTCCTGGTTTGTTAATTATTGTTATTCGTAATTACTGTACTTCAAAATACCAAATAGCAGCAGAGTTGTCTCCGTCTGGCTACTATTTATACCCATAGATAGGTTATGCATTTTACTTGCTCCAGTAGTGGTTCATTTCTTATGAAATGTATTAAAATATGGTACTTGTATAGTATGCGGTCGGGACGGAAACTCCCTTCATATCTTATCTTACATCACATAACCTCCCTTCTTATCTCGTGTAAGCTGTTGTTATCCTTCTGTTACATGTAAGTTATTCCATTGTTTATTTTTTGTCATCAGTTCAAATGGTTATTATTACACTGTGGGAATAGCCATCTTCAGAAGAAGAAGCTATCAAATATTTTCAAAAGGTCGGAATAATTTCAAAGGTGAAATTCTGTGAAGAAGGTTGTGAAATGAAGTTTGACAGGAAGACCGAATGGAGATGTTTTCATAGCAATTGTAAGAAAAACGTATCTAGAAAAGGAACGTGGTTAGAGGGATCAAAGATTACCTTTTCAACGGCTTTAAAATTTATTTATGGGTGATCTCGTAATTTAGGAATTATACAGTGGTGCAAAGAGCAGCTGAAACTATCAAACAAAACTGTGGTAATGTGAAACAAATTTTTAAGAGATGTTTGTGTCCATAACATGTTATATAGGTCAACTAAAAAAATTGGAGAGCCTGGCAAAGTCATTGAAGTAGATGAGTCTTTTTTTTTAAAAGAAAAAATCATGTAGGGAGAGTTTTCCTTGAACAGTGGATGTTTGGTGGAGTTTTTTGAGAAACAGATGAGTGTTTCATGGTAAAAATAAAGGACAGAATGGCAACAACTTTATTAGAATGTATTAAAAATTATATAGAAGAGAGAAACACCATATTCTGACTGTTGGAAAGGATAAAACAGCCAACAACTGAATGAAGCAAGTTACAATCATTTCCAGGTGAATCACTGGTATAACTTTGTTTGGGGTGGGAGTTGGGGAGTGGGGTCCATACTCAACACATAGAACGATTATGGGGCTCAACTAAGTGGAGAAATAAAAAGCATCGAGGAACTATAAGACAACACCTGGATTCATATTTATGTGAATTTTTGTGGCGGAGGAGAAGAGGACCCATTCCTCGTTATTTCAAATAACATTAAGCTATTTTTACTGCCAAAATAAATTAAATTAAAAATAAAAATGTTTCATATGTATATATGTGGTTTATATAAAGTATGAACGTATATGCATTGTATGCATTAAGTGTTTATGTTGTATTTTGTATAAAATGAAAATAAAATTTATATATATATATATATATATATATATATATGTTGTAAAATAAAAGTGTTTTGTTATTATTACATGTTATTATTTGTTTTTGTCTTTTCAATTTCCATAAATATGACATTTGTTTTTGTCTATATCAATTTCGATAAATATGAATTCGAAGATAGGGATTATGAGTGCCTTATTAAAATTATCAGTATTCAGGTTATAAACATTGGCATATAGCAGTCTATCCCGATTGCATAATACACAAGTACCGAAAATAGTTTGATGACTGGTCCACTAAAAAAAAAAATGAGTTTTTTAAGCATTGGATTCAAAATTGCCAGATAGTTGGAAAAAGTGTATAGCTAGTGATGGGAAATATTTTGAATAAAATATTATTTAACATTTTTATGCATTAAACATTTTCTTTATTTTAATTTTCTTTAAAAATTCTGGTTTCATATTCACTCATCTAATATTTAGTTCAACTTTCATGACTTGAATTGTTACTGAAAATCTCTCAAATTTTCAAGTATTTTAACCATTAAATTCAGGATTTTGTGAATAGTGAAAAATGTTTTTTAAATTTAATTATTACTCATTCTTATGGACGTTAACTAAGGTTCCTGTCTATTAAATTTCATATAAATAATTTAACTTTTGGTTAGATATACACAAATTTTATCTATCATTCAGAATATATATATTTTTGAACATAATTATTCAAAGTTTCTTAAAAAGTTTGATTTCTTGATTTTTCGGGTACATGGAAGAATGGAAAATAGGATTAACAACGGCTTATTATAATCTTCTAATATAAACACAGTAAGCAACAAAAGTACCCTTATCCCACTTTGAATTTCTGAAATAATAAAAATGGACATTTCTTTTGAAATGACCTAATAGTTTAATACTAAGCTGTTTATTATATTGTCATATAACTTCTGGCATTTCTTCTTCTTTTTTCCTCTTCCTTTTGTAGAGGCGCCTCGATCCATAAATACAAGGCTTTTCGCTCCTGTAATAGAACATTCATATCCTTTAGTTGCATACCTCTTTTCTGCCTGATCTTGAAGATGTAGTCCTTCCATGATAATCTAGGTCTTCCTCTAGCCAGTGGGTCTTGCCTCCATGAATTTTCGGGTATTACAGTTTTCATTTATCCGAAATAAATGCGTATCCATGTACAAATATTAAATGCTGACATACCTAACTCAATGTGGATTAAAACGAATTAGGTAACAAGGTTTTCTTCTCACCCGATGGAATGGCAAGATTTGATTGTATTTATATTCATTAAATTATATTTTATTTCTATACATTTTTTATCAGATTAATGTATTGGTATAGTTAAGAAAAGAAAGAAAGAAAAAAATTTACTCTAGGTGTATGAGATTATTTTTTTCAGTAAATGTTAGTGAACGTTGGAGAACTGTGAAATATGCTTTCTATATATCAGGATTATGTATGATAGTGTCAGCACTGCTCTTGACACCAATGAAAATGCTTAAAAAAATGTCAAGAGAGGGAGCCACTGATCTGGTTTGAGTTAACATCCACAACTTTTTTATTTGATATTACATGTTTTTTTATAAATACATTTTTATTTTTTCATCATTAACATAACTCGTAATTTGTGACACTTCATTATAGTTATTTTAAGTTATGAATTGGATTTATCTTTCAGTTTTACGATACAACTCACCAATCGGGTGATTATAAAATAAATCATATTCATCATCATATCTGAAGTCAGAACATAGGGCCGGAGAGGTAAGAGACAGGAGGAACATCATACAATAGCAATATGTAGCTCCAGAAGTATAGTACAGCTGCGCACTGGGCTGAACTAAATGAATCCTTGAATATTGTTCCCACAATCTCCATTTTGTTTTAAAATGGGATACATGTTCTGTTAGTAAGGTATAATGATCCAAAATATTGACAATTTTAAATATGTGACGTTCACTAAATCAACAAATCTGAACTGACTAGTGCAGTTATCATTACTTCAAACTTCAAGTAATATATGCTTGGCAGCATATATGTGGGGTTTCCTGTGAAGTACAAGCAAGGAAAAATTTAAACCATCGAATGCCTCTCATATCCAATCTTTACAATCCAAAATCCTCAACGCTCCTTACTTTTCCACAATTAAAGTCATCCATAATGACCTTAATGTTCCATATGTTTCCAATTTGTTCCAATCCAGAAACCTTTCCTTCCATAACAAACTTCAGAACCATCTGAACCCTCTTGTTTCAAACTTTGCTTCCTCCTCGATCCCTGATAACCCTCCGAGGCGTCTGAACAGAAGGTGGCCTCGGGATCTTCTTGTGTAAATTTATTATTTTAGTGCTACCAGTGGGTAGTTTCTCAACAAGTGATTTAATGTTATTATATTCCTGAGTGCACATTTACTAGATATATATTTTTTTCTTTTATGATACAGTTGTG